ATCTTTACTTTCTAGACCCAGCACAAGTCGAATTATTTCATTTGCCAAAGGATAAACAGTGATGGGCATCATTCCATCCATCCTGTCTAGTAAAGCTTTGATGAGGTTTTCTCATGACTCACCAGTGCCCCCTTTGTTGTTGAAACCGCTTACATGCAGAAGGTAACCCTCACACTCAGCATCGACTTTAAATGAAGAGTAAAGAGCAAACTTTTTGTTTCCTTCAAGTCCTCCATGTCGACCATCAGTTCATAATTCTGACTCCGTGTCAATTCACGGATGTTATCAAGACCTGCACAGACATGGAAACCATTAAATTTAGATTTTGCATTAAACACCTGGTTAATCTGGGTTTGCAGGAACTGAGTTATAACTATGTTATAAGTAAATAAATAAACCATACATTGACTAACTGTTTAGGTCGGTGTCTCACCCAGCCAGTACTCTCCAGCAGCGTTTCCAAAGCCTCTCTTGTACTCCGCCCAGGGTCTGTAGAAGTTTACAGAGCCATCCATCCTCCTCTGGAAAACCTGGAACAACAAAGGAATCTGATCAAGAAGTGAACAACGTTCTCACTGACACACTCAGGGTGAAAAGGAAGTGGGTACCAACTCTGAATTGGTATCAATAATCAATATTTAACATGATAAAACTGATCAAATCTTATCTCAGGCAGGTGAAAATGGAAGGACAATAAAGACTCTTCTTTCAACAGAACTTGATGTTTGTTGGATGAAATCCCCCAAGAATCCTGAGATAAACCAAGTTGAAGTGTAAACAGAGAGAGTTCATGTAGAGATGGACTCACCGTCCAGCGTCCTCCCTCTGAGTCCATGTCGCAGTAAGCCTTCACACAAACACATTCATGACTTGATACAGTTTTTATTATGTAATGCAATGTCACACTTTATATGGAAAAATAAATACTATCAAGAAAGTTCAGTTTCAAACAGTCAGTTTATGTAATGTGTATGAAGATTAAGTAAAAACATCCTCAGCATTGTTAACAGATAAACCTCCAGTCTTGGTCCTGCACAGAACTTTAATCTGGATCTTCATTTTTATGAACAAACCAAACATAAAGTTCACCTGAACAGCAGATGTAGATCCACTTGGATAGATGATGTAAACTCCACTGGTAAGATTATTATCCTTATTGTAGATGTCATCACAATCAACTGGCAGTTGGTCCTCAGCCGCTTCACAGCTGATCAGCAGTGGAGCCAGGAGGAAGAGAAGTGATAACAGCTGGAAGACAGAACATGACACCTTCTGAACATCATCAGAGAAACTCTGATTAACGTTCATTTAGTCAGATTAAACCTGATCCCTGATCTTGTCCTGCATGTGGCCTGTAAGCTGTGCTGCCAGATTTTCAGTCAGAATTATGCTGAATTCTGCCTTAACAAAGGTTTCTGGTTGGTTTGACCCTCCATTTTTTAACAACTCATTTCATCAGTCCTGTTAACAAATGTTATTTCCAGAGCCAATGATATGCAGGAAGTGTTTAAACAAATGGTAAACATTTACGATGTTGAAAAGCTCAATGCAAATGTTTAGACTGGAAAATCTTTGGATTAAACCGATAATATGTTGTGGACGTTTTCCTTTTCATTGTACCGACTATATTCATTATAAAAGTGATAATTGATTCACTTATGAATCTTTATAGTTCAAGATACAAACTTACCTTCATCCTTACTGTTGAACTGGACAAACTGAAAATCTGTGGTCAGTGTGGTTCACTGTTAATATCCAATACATAAAAATAAATTAACTTTAGTGGCCAAACTCAGTTGTAAATGAATTCATTCGTTCATCTCTCACCTGCAGCTGAATGAACTTGATTCCAACTTCTGCTTCTCCTCTGTGTCTCCGACGTTCAGACTCCGTTATTTTATACCTGCTGATGTGTCACCTCACCTTGATGATCAGGAATCTAAATCAAACATCACCTGATGAAAAACATGAGCTTGGCTTCTTCAACTTGAAAATAAATACCGGATCCAGGATCTGGGCTGAGTGTCAATAACACTGGAAGATCAGTGAACCCAAAGAAGATGAGAGCAATCATCATTTCAGGCTTCCAAGATCTATTTGCTGTTTTCTCTTATACATATTTGTTCAGTTGTGACATCAGGCCTTTCAGTAAATGTATCAGGGACCTGGTTCTGTGTCCTGGTACCAGTGTGACCCAACTGTTCAAGCAATGTAAATAAACTGTGATAGTTCAGAAACTATTTATTAAAAACATTTAATTTGTCAAATGAGCTTCATCAGGATGTCTGTTCTAGTTCAGGAATTTGACTGAACACAAACGTTATGTTGTCAACATGTAGGAAGTTTCTGAAAGAGGAAACTGATCCACTCCATAAGCTCAGCTCCATCCCCGGCTCCAGTTTCGCCTCCAGTTGCCACTGTCTGCTCGTCTCTAGTTCTGTCTTCACCTCCCACTGCTAAAGCTTACTGGTTTCTCACTGCTACAGCTCCAGGGTTCGGGTTTCCCCTCTGGTACTCGGTTTCCAAGCCGCTCTGTTTTTCCTGGGCGTCAGGCTGCATGACTGGGTTCCAGGTCAGAACAGCCGGCTTTGGGGAGCCGAGCCGCACAGAAAGTTCCTGCTCCCCAGGCTGCAGAGCTATCCTCTGATAAACACGCTGGTTCCCAGTCCCCAGTAAGTGGGTTCTCCACCCCAGTAAGCCCCATCCTGTGCCGGCCCTTCTGAGCCCTTTAGTGCAGGGGAGCTCAAACTTTTTGAGACCAAGATCTACTTTTTCTCTCACCAGCCTGCTGTCATGGCCAAAGGTTTTGAGAATGATTCAAATGTTAATATTTACAAAATCTACTGCTTCAGTTTTTATAATGGCAATTTGCATACACTCCAGGATGTTATAAAGAGTGATCAGCGTAACAGCAATTAATTGTAAAGTCAATATTTGCCTAGAAAATGAACTTTATCCCCAAAACACATTTCAACTTCATTGCAGCCCTGTCTTAAAAGGACCAGCTAACAACGTTTCATTGATTGCTCCATTAACACAGGTGTAGGTGGTGATGAGGACAGGGCTGGAGATCAATCTGTCATGATTAAGTAAGAAGGACACCACTGGACACTTTAAAAAGAGGCTGGTGCTTGGCATCATTGTTTCTCCTCTGTGAACCATAGTTATCTCTAAAGAAACACATGCAGTCATCATTGCACTGCACAAAAATGGCCTAATAGGAAAGAGAATCGCAGCTAGAAGATTGCACCTCAGTCAACAATCTATTGTATCATCAAGAACTTCAAGGAGAGAGGTTCCTGGAGAGAAGGAACCTCTCTCCTTGTTGCTAAAAAGGCTCCAGGCGCCCAAGAAAGACCAGCAAGCACCAGTACCGTCTCTTAAAAGTGTTTCAGCTGCGGGATCGGGCTGCCAGCAGTGCAGAGCTTGCTCAGGAATGGCAGCAGGCAGGTGTGAGTGCATCTGCACGCACTGTGAGGCAGAGACTCTCGGAGCAAGGCCTGGTCTCAAGGAGGGCAGCAAAGAAGCCACTTCTCTCCAGGAAAAACATCAGGGAGACTGATATTCTGCAAAACGTGCAGGGAGTGGACTGCTGAGGACTGGGGTGAAGTCATTTTCTCTGATGAATCCCCTTTCCGATTGTTTGGGACATCTGGAAAACGGTTTGTTCGGAGAAGACGAGGTGAGCGCTACCACCAGTCTTGTCTCATGCCAACTGTAAAGCATCCTGAAACCATTCATGTGTGGGGTTGCTTCTCAGCCAAGGGAGTCGGCTCTCTCAGTCTTACCTAAAAACACAGCCATGAATAAAGAATGGTACCAGAATGTCCTCCGAGAGCAACTTCTCCCAACCGTCCAAGATCAGTTTGGTGATGAACAATGCTTTTCCAGCATGATGGAGCACCTTGCCATAAAGCAAAGGTGATATCTAACTGGCTCAGGGAACAAAACATAGAGAGTTTGGGTCCATGGCCTGGAAACTCCCCTGATCTTAATCCCATTGAAAACTTGTGGTCAATTATCAAGAGACGGGTGGACAAAGAAAACCTAGGAATTCTGACAAAATGCAAGCATTGATTGTGCAAGAATGGACTGCTATCAGTTAGGATTTAGTCCTAACTGCTGTTCGTTGTCTTGTTTTTTCCAACTTAAAAACTTTAAAGGCAACATTTTGAAACTGTACAGTTACAGAAACTCTAATGTGTTAATAATGCAAATAAAATCAGCCGAAGCTAATGTGCTTCTTAAAGTATTCCTGAAGTTAAGCCATACTGGATGTACACTGAATTATATTCTTACAAAATCACAAGAAAGAATGAGAACATAATGTTTAAAAATATACCATATAGTCTATTTATGGATATCATTTTAAAATGAGATCCTTTATAAAATGCAGCACTTTTTAAATAAAAAAATGAAAAGATCCAAGACTTTCATATAAAAATGTAAGCAATATTCTCTAAAGAGTCAAATCTTTGTCAAAAATGGGAGAGAAAAAGATGCACTTTCTTAAAAAATGTAAATAAAATGGTTCAACTGAAGCTGCATCTCTGTTATAAACTAAATGTAAACATGAGTCAAGATATACTAATTATTAGTATTTTGTGGCAGGAAGTACATGAAACTGCAGGTGTTCGCTTTAGTGTTGAAGTATACAATAAGTGAATGTCTTTATGTTCTTTATTGCTGTGAAAGCTGCAGGCGACTGAGAAAGTAAAATTTGTTTCTATGTCACATTTTGTCTCAAACAAGTTTATGAAGTTGCATGTTGTGTTTTAATGTTCTAATAAGATAAGGATGGAAAAAAACATGTTATATAAATGCAAATCAAATACTGAAAAGGTTCAACAGGATCTTTGACTGGTCCAAAGGTCCTTCTGGTCTGAACAAGAGACAAAAACAAACACGGCTATCTCCTTCGTTCTGTTTGACCTCCTGGCTTGTCAAACACAAACCGACCTCTGCCTTGTTTTTCTCTTCCTCTTTAGTGTGCCAGAGGTTCAAACAGCAGAAACAAGATGGCCGCCACTCTGCAAGTGGCACCAGCATGTACAGGATGCAACAGTGCTCAACTGGATCGCATCTCTCTCTGTGTTCAGATGATGATTGGGTGAGAAGTCTGAGTCTGAGGAAGTGCTCCTTTAAGCAGTTATTGATCAGTTTTAAACAGATCAATAACTGTGAAATGAAATAGATGTGTAGTTACTGGCAACTGAAAGTGGTAGGTTTGTTTCTAAAGATTTGTTTCTAGTAAATATCCTTTAATTTATTGATAATCCTTTTTATGACTAAAGAATAATGCAGGACCACGGATAGAGCCTTGTGGTGCTCCACCTTTAACTGGATCAGTGTTTTCTTTCTGTTAGGAGCCATTGGCCCCAACTTTCTCACATCCAGCTCTCATCTCCTCCTCCTCAGGTCTCCAAATGCCCGTCTGGCTGCAGGCTGCAGGGTTTGATGTCACAAATGGAAAGTGATGTGGAGAAAAAGCTGCACATGTTCTGTCAAAAGTCGAGTCTTTATGAAATCGCACTGGAGAAGTCCATGACGGAGATGACGCACATCTACAACTCCAACCGCAGAGTCATGGTCAACAGATACAGTTAAGATTCACACAAAGTCTTCAGTTTAGGCTTTTTGGAATAAATAACATAAAGCTGGATTTTGTGTTTAGTTTCAGAACTGAAGTTTGTGGAAAGTGCCGACAAACTGGCCAAGAACCTCGGAGAGCTACGACAGCGATCTCGATTTCTGGCACAGAAGTGAAGGAGTTGAGGAGCCATGTGAGGAAACAGGTGGAGGAAATGCATCGAACAGAGGCGAGGATGCAACAAAACAGACAAGAAATGCAGCTGCGCAAGTTTTTCAAGTGAAAGGAAAATTAGACATTTTGTTCTGAAGGTTTTACAGTTAAAACTGAGAAGTTTTTCTTTTTGACAGAAATTTATAAGTATGTGATTACCTCATACCAGACTCCCCGTTCTTCCATATTTGGTCATCAGTTGCTCCCTTCTGCTCTGGTTTGATTAAATTATAGGTTCCTGGCTGATTTCCCAGAATACATTCAGACCAGGCCTGTTCCCTCTTCACCAGAACTTGTAAAAAGCTTTTCTCTCTGCACCCAAAGCCTGTCCCTATTTCACCATTATTCTGATTTCAGTCTTTTATATGTTAAACAGAATCATAACTTTATCAACATAATCATGATTAATACATTCCTTCAGTCATTACTCCTTAATACTTATCATTTTGATTCGGTATGATAACACATTCAGTTGTGATTTCCTGTTTAACTGGTTTATAAACAACTTCAGAATTTACTCACTTCATAATCATCATCAACACTTTTACATGATATATAACATAATACATATTCCCATAATCAACATTGAATCATAATACAAGATTACTTCAGTCTCTCAGGCCCGTTATGATCTGTTTTCTGCATGAACCCTGGACAGATCTCACCTCCTCATACCAGTTTTTGTAACACAGTGTTGACCCCTCTTCTTCAGGACCTCTGCAATTCTCCCTGCCATGCTCTCAATCAACTTCTGGACTAAATCCTGACTGATAGCAGTCCATTCTTGCACAATCAATGCTTGCATTTTGTCAGAATTCCTAGGTTTTCTTTGTCCACCCGTCTCTTGATAATTGACCACAAGTTTTCAATGGGATTAAGATCAGGGGAGTTTCCAGGCCATGGACCCAAACTCTCTATGTTTTGTTCCCTGAGCCAGTTAGATATCACCTTTGCTTTATGGCAAGGTGCTCCATCATGCTGGAAAAGGCATTGTTCATCACCAAACTGATCTTGGACGGTTGGGAAGTTGCTCTCGGAGGACATTCTGGTACCATTCTTTATTCATGGCTGTGTTTTTAGGTAAGACTGAGAGAGCCGACTCCCTTGGCTGAGAAGCAACCCCACACATGAATGGTTTCAGGATGCTTTACAGTTGGCATGAGACAAGACTGGTGGTAGCGCTCACCTCGTCTTCTCCGAACAAACCGTTTTCCAGATGTCCCAAACAATCGGAAAGGGATTCATCAGAGAAAATGACTTCACCCCAGTCCTCAGCAGTCCACTCCCTGCACGTTTTGCAGAATATCAGTCTCCCTGATGTTTTTCCTGGAGAGAAGTGGCTTCTTTGCTGCCCTCCTTGAGACCAGGCCTTGCTCCGAGAGTCTCTGCCTCACAGTGCGTGCAGATGCACTCACACCTGCCTGCTGCCATTCCTGAGCAAGCTCTGCACTGCTGGCAGCCCGATCCCGCAGCTGAAACACTTTTAAGAGACGGTACTGGTGCTTGCTGGTCTTTCTTGGGCGCCTGGAGCCTTTTTAGCAACAAGGAGAGAGGTTCCTTCTCTCCAGGAACCTCTCTCCTTGAAGTTCTTGATGATACAATAGATTGTTGACTGAGGCACAATCTTTCTAGCTGCGATTCTCTTTCCTATTAGGCCATTTTTGTGCAGTGCAATGATGACTGCATGTGTTTCTTTAGAGATAACTATGGTTCACAGAGGAGAAACAATGATGCCAAGCACCAGCCTCTTTTTAAAGTGTCCAGTGGTGTCCTTCTTACTTAATCATGACAGATTGATCTCCAGCCCTGTCCTCATCTCCACCTACACCTGTGTTAATGGAGCAATCAATGAAACGTTGTTAGCTGGTCCTTTTAAGACAGGGCTGCAATGAAGTTGAAATGTGTTTTGGGGATAAGTTCATTTTCTAGGCAAATATTGACTTTGCAATTAATTGCTGTTACGCTGATCACTCTTATAACATTCTGGAGTGTATGCAAATTGCCATTATAAAACTGAAGCAGTAGATTTTGTAATATTAACATTTGAATCATTCTCAAAACCTTGGCCATGACAGCAGACTGGTGAGAGAAAAAGTAGATCTTGGTCTCAAAAAGTTTGAGCTCCCCTGCACTAAAGGGCTCAGAAGGGCGGCACAGGATGGGGCTTACTGGGTGGAGAACCCACTTACTGGGGACTGGGAACCAGCGTGTTTATCAGAGGATAGCTCTGCAGCCTGGGGAGCAGGAACTTTCTGTGCGGCTCGGCTCCCCAAAGCCGGCTGTTCTGACCTGGAACCCAGTCATGCAGCCTGACGCCCAGGAACTAACAGAGCGGCTTGGAAACCGAGTCCCAGAGGGGAAACCCGAACCCTGGAGCTGTAGCAGTGAGAAACCAGTAAGCTTTAGCAGTGGGAGGTGAAGACAGAACTAGAGACGAGCAGACAGTGGCAACTGGAGGCGAAACTGGAGCCGGGGATGGAGCTGAGCTTATGGAGTGGATCAGTTTCCTCTTTCAGAACTTCCTACATGTTGACAACATAACGTTTGTGTTCAGTCAAATTCCTGAACTAGAACAGACATCCTGATGAAGCTCATTTGCCAAATTAAATGTTTTTAATAAATAGTTTCTGAACTATCACAGTTTATTTACATTGCTTGAACAGTTGGGTCACACTGGTACCAGGACACAGAACCAGGTCCCTGTCAGGGTGTGTCTTTTTCTTCTGTTTCTTACTTTTGTTTTTGTTTTTTTTTTGTTTTTTTTTTTGTCTCCCTGGAACACCTGCTACTTCCTGTGGCATCCAGCAGATGCTGCCAGGAATCAGAGCCCCTGGAGTTATGCCTTGTCGACCCCTTTGACGCACCTGCAGCTTATTTGGAAGGCACGGTCTGGGTGTATATAGGAGCGGCGGAACGACTCCTCTTTGCCTGAGTGTTTTATCTTGGTAACGATCGTTCCATGAAAGGCCATCTGAGATATTCTCCGAGCTAACTTCCTGTTTTTCTCACGCCAGGTGAACCCGCCGTCTCCTCGTTGTTCCCCGAGTTGGCCGTCTGCCCCGGGATCCTGAACAACTTCTGCCACTCCGTTGTTTTGGACGTTTCTTCAAGAAACCACCGGATTCCCTGATCGAGCCCGACGCCATCTGGAGGTTCGTTATTCTGGACCTAGTCGGACCCGACTCTGACCGCCTACTACCTGTCCGCCCTCCAACCCAGCCATCTCCTCCAGCGCTCTGGCAGCTACCATACTCACACCCTCCAAGTAAGAATGAATCTGTTTATCCTGGAGAGACTCACTCAACCCCTCTTGCTATCCTGTAGCCCAGGGTGTCAAACTGGGGCCGCACAAATTAACTCAATGCAAGATTAAATAGAACTAATGAAAGTGGACTCGTTGATCTTTATATTAAACAAATTTCACTTTTACAAAAATATATTATGAATAACTTCAGACTTTTTAAGGAAAGTATATACAATTTCAACAATACTTTAACTCAGTTAAACATTTATTTAAGTGCATTATGCACTTTAATAATGCACTTATTATTAAAGTGCATTATTAAATGCATTTAATAATGCATTATTAAATGCATTATTGTATTGTAAAGTGATTGTATCACTTTGTACAATCACAGTGATTGTACAAAGTTGCAAAACATTTATTCACAGTTTTTGGAACTTCAAACACTGTCCTGCATGACAAAATGCATCAAACAGATAAAAATTAAGAAATGATTTAAAATCAATTTTCTACATCTGGGAAGCAATTTAAACAAATTAACAAACTTCACACATTTGAAATTTTAAGTGTCAGCTGTTTAAAACAGACATTTGATTAAGTACATTTGTTACCTTTCTTGCTGATGCATAAAATATATATAGAAAAACTTTTATACATAACATGTATTGCATGCATGGCAAATATTTCACTCAGCAAAACTGTTTTGTTGTGAATCTGTTACTGAATAACACTAACTTTAATAGAATTAATTTAGCAGACAATCAAAGTTGCAATTTTTGTTTCACTCAGTATTTGCCACTTAAACTTGGCATCAGTGGCGGAGCTAGACTTTTTTTCAAGGGGTGGCTAAAGGGTGAGCAAGGCTTTATCAGAGGGGTCCATATACAAATGATGAACGAAAGGAAACAAATATTTTCTTGCACACACTCAAATTAAAATGGTTTATTTAACAAAGATTTGCCAAGACCAAACAAGACGTTAAATGGCTCTATGGAACAGTGAACATGTAAATGTAAACACAGAGCCCAGAATATGACCAAAAACAAATTCTCAAAAATAAATAAATAAACAGGTGCTTCTGGTGTGCAATAGGTTGTGCTGGGTGGGGGCAGTTCAGTGCCACTTCCTTCTGCTTCACTGTCTTCCTCCCCAGAGTCTGACTCTGAATCTGTATCACTCTCATCTCTCTCTGGAACTTAATTGGAAATGCATAAACAGACACAATAAAACCTGCAAAAAGCATCATGCTAACCTTTAGAATTAGGCTTATTGGATTTTAATACTTAATAACTCTCTGTCACAGCCTCTAACCTGCTGGTGATACACTTGGGCCTGGAGTCTCCTGGCTGGATTCTCCAGGTTGGTCACTGCTGCAGGGTTCTGTCTGGTCCTGGTCACTGCTGCAGGGTTCTGTATGGTCCTGGTCACTGCTGCAGGGTTCTGTCTGGTCCTGGTCACTGCTGCAGGGTTCTGTCTGGTCCTGGTCACTGCTGCAGGGTTCTGTCTGGTCCTGGTCACTGCTGCAGGGTTCTGTCTGGTCCTGGTCACTGCTGCAGGGTTCTGTATGGTCCTGGTCACTGCTGCAGGGTTCTGTATGGTCCTGGTCACTGCTGCAGGGTTCTGTCTGGTCCTGGTCACTGCAGGGTTCTGTCTGGTCCTGGTCGCTGCTGCAGGGTTCTGTCTGGTTCTGGTCACTGCTGTAGGGTTCTGTCTGGTCCTGGTCACTGCTGCAGGGTTCTGTCTGGCCCCGGTCACTGCTGCGGGGTTCTGTCTGGTCCTGGTCACTGCTGCAGGGTTCTGTCTGGTCCTGGTCACTGCTGCAGGTTCTGTCTGGTCCTGGTCACTGCTGCAGGGTTCTGTCTGGTCCTGGTCACTGCTGCAGGGTTCTGTCTGGTTCTGGTTTTTGCCTCTTTAAGAAGAACTGGGACATATTCCCTTTTCTCTTCATTTGGGCTCTACACAAAGTAAGACAGCCTGGTATTTAGACTCCATGATTGTTTGGCAGAGACACTATTTTAACTATCATTTAAACTAGTTTTTAGTTTTCTGTAGCTAACTAAAATAATACTAAATTAAAAATAGATTAATGAAATTAATTAATATAACTAGTGAGGTTATAATTCAAAGCTTTCATATGACAACTTACATTTCAGTCATTATAAAACTTAATGGTTTTTCACATATTCTTACCACACATTTCAAGCAAGAGCTGGGAGATATAAACATTACAGGGCAGCATTTGCACTAAAACATTATGTTAAAAGAATCTGTCTAAAACACCTACCAGCACTAGGGCTAATATAATAAACGAGGCACTACGCAGCGGTGCACAACCATTTTTATTCTTTTTAGAAATGTATGACAAGTGCCGCCTCTCATTAGGAAGGTAACAGCGGTTACTGCTGAGCGGTAAAATGTTCAGAACTCCTCGACGGTGTAACTCTAAAGCCGTTGATGTGTTTTGGATCAAGCAGGAACCACATGTCAGTTTAACCAATGAACAGCGTCGGGCTTCGGGTTGCCTTCAGGGACAGTCGGAAATTACAGTTTTCCTGGCAAATCTTTGCCCATCTCATAAGTATTATATTTTAAAATTACCATTTCCAGTGGGGTGGCAGTAGGGGTGGCCAGGGCTCTGTTGGGGGTGGCAAGTGCTTGGCATCTTTTAGCCTGGACAAGTACATCAATATCAGGCATCATGTCCTGAGCAGCAGCCAATTTCAGAGTCATTTAAGTGTTTATGTGTGAGCTTTGAGCGCAGCTTTGATTTGTTCATGTTCATTAGTGAGAAAATTTGCTCACAAAGGTAGATAGTCCCAAACATGGACAACATTTTTGTAGCCAGTGTTGTCAGTTTAGGATAGCCTGCTGGGAGACACTGGTAAAATGTGTCCAAGCCAACTGATGCAAATTTGTCATTCAATTCCACATCACACTGCAAATCAATGATTTCAAGTTGCATATCACAAGCTCTGACTGAGAATGGTGAGCGAAAAACTGAGCCTTCTGTCTCCAGTTCGTTAAATACCTGAAATGGTTTCTCAAACTCACTCAGCAACCTTGAAATTGTGTCTTTGTTCACGTATGCTGCACACACGTCTCTGAGACAGGGAAAATGAGCAGGTCTCCGTTTGCCATCTGCGTCTCCCATAACGTCAGCTTTAACTTGAATGCACATATGCTGTCATAATACTGTTACAATTTGTTTTGCATCCTTGCAACATTTTGTTCAGATTATTCAAGTGTCCTGTGATATCAACCATAAATGCAAGATCCTGCAGCCACATCGGGCATTCTAATTCCTTAACAGGTTTACCTGTTTTCTCCATGAACTGTCCAATTTCCCCTCGTAGATCAAAGAAGCGCTTCAGCACAGCGCCTCTGCTTAACCATCTAACTTCAGTGTGGTGTGGTAGACCATGGGTAATGTTGCATTCACTGAGAAGGCTGTCAAACTGACGATGACTGAGAGCTCTGGCTCGGATGAAATTAACAGTTCGGACAACCACCTCCATGACATGGTGCATTTTAGCGACTTGCAGTATAATGCTTCCTGATGCAGAAGACAATGAAATGTCCAAAACTCCCCCCCTTTATTTGCAGCTTGTACTTTCTCTCTGAACAACACCTGTCTTTCTCCCAATCATTGACGGCGCACCATCAGTAGCCAGGCTTACGGCGCGGGACCGGTCCACCCCGACCCAGTCCACCCCGACCCAGTCCAGCCCGACTCGCTCCAACAACGGAGCGCAAAATGTCTTCAGATGTCGTGTCGGTCATGGGCACCAACTCTAGAAACTCCTCTGTGACAGTCAACGTCTCATCAACTCCACGAATAAATATGGCCAGTTGAGCGACATCCGCAACATCAGTACTCTCTCTCATCAATTGCAACAGAAAATGCCAGAAATTACTCTGTTTTGCGTTTGAGCTTGTTGTCCAAATCTGCCGATAGTTCCGAAATTCTTTCTGCGACGGTATTTCTAGTCAAGCTAATATTGGCAAAAGCTTGTCGCTTCTCAGGACGCACAACTGAGCAGCCTTCAGCATGCAGTTCTTGACGAACTCTCCCTCACAGGAAGGCTTTGATGCTAACGCTATTTGGCTAGCAGTTAGCTAATCCAATTTCACCGCAGCATCACTGGCCTCTCGACTCCGGGTGAAAACAGATTGCTGTTTCCTCAGACCGTCAACATTTCATTTATCTTCTGATTTCTCAGTTCTCCTTGCAAGTGCTTGTATTTTTCACCATGCTGAGTTTCACAGTGGAGGCGAATATTGTATTCCTTAAGCACCGAAACCTGCTGCAGGCACACAAGGCACACGGGTTTTCTTAAAATCCGACACTCTGTGTCTACCTTTCTCTTTTTTGACAGACATGTTGTTGCTGAGGCTGCCGGGGCCAAAATAAAAGTGATAGAATCAAGCTGTTTACAGAACCTGAAGCTCAGTGCTGCCATCTGCTGTTAGTTCCGATGTCTGCTCTGAATAAAACGGCGCCCCTCGTGGACAATATAGGAATTGCAGATTTTCAATTAAATGAAGTGCATGTTTGTTTTTTTCAATTATAATGGTCCGGCTGGGGGCATTTAGACCCCAGCCCGGACTAAATCATTCGGCGGGCTGGTTCTGGCCCACGGGACGTACGTTTGACACCCCTGCTGTAGCCTCTCATTGACAGTCAGACGGTCCGGTCATCAGTTCCAGAACTCACTTCCCTTTCCTTTTACCCTGGACTCAATAAAACATTATTGTTCTAAACTTCCTCACCTGATTGCGTTCTTGCATGTGGGTTAAGAAGCTTGGAGCCATCATGACAGTCCCAGACATATTTACTGAAAGGCCTGATGTCACAACTGAACAAATATGTATAAGAGAAAAGAGCAAACAGATCTTGGAAGCCTGTCATGATGATTGTTCTCATCTTCTTTGGGTTCACTGATCTTCCAGTGTTATTGACACTCAGCCCAGATCCTGGATCCGGTATTTATTTTTAAGTTGAAGAAGCCAAGCTCATGTTTTTCATCAGGTGATGTTTGATTTAGATTTCTGATCATCAAGGTGAGGTGACACATCAGCAGGTATATAATAACGGAGTCTGAACGTCGGAGACACAGAGGAGAAGCAGAAGTTTGGAATCAAGTTCATTCAGCTGCAGGTGAGAGATGAACGAATGAATTCATTTACAACTGAGTTTGGCCACTAAAGTTAATTTATTTTATTGTATTGGATATTAACAGTGAACCACACTGACTACAGATTTTCAGTTTGTCCAATTCAACAGTAAGGATGAAGGTAAGTTTGTGTCTTGACCTATAAAGATTCATAAGTGAATCGATTATCACTTTTATAATGAATATAGTCGGTACAATGAAAAGGAAAACGTCCACAACATATTTATCGGTTTAATCCAAAGATTTTCCAGTCTAAACATTTGCATTGAGCTTTTTCAACATCGTAAATGTTTACCATTTGTTTAAACACTTCCTGCATATCATTGGCTCTGGAAATAACATTTGTTAACAGGACTGATGAAATGAGTTGTTAAAAAATGGAGGGTCAAACCAACCAGAAACCTTTGTTAAGGCAGAATTCAGCATAATTCTGACTGAAAATCTGGCAGCACAGCTTACAGGCCACATGCAGGACAAGATCAGGGATCAGGTTTAATCTGACTAAATGAACGTTAATCAGAGTTTCTCTGATGATGTTCAGAAGGTGTCATGTTCTGTCTTCCAGCTGTTATCACTTCTCTTCCTCCTGGCTCCACTGCTGATCAGCTGTGAAGCGGCTGAGGACCAACTGCCACGTGATTGTGATGACATCTACAATAAGGATAATAATCTTACCAGTGGAGTTTACATCATCTATCCAAGTGGATCTACATCTGCTGTTCAGGTGAACTTTATGTTTGGTTTGTTCATAAAAAATGAAGATCCAGATTAAAGTTCTGTGCAGGACCAAGACTGGAGGTTTATCTGTTAACAATGCTGAGGATGTTTTTACTTAATCTTCATACACATTACATAAACTGACTGTTTGAAACTGAACTTTCTTGATAGTATTTATTTTTCCACATAAAGTGTGACATTGCATTACATAATAAAAACTGCATCAAGTCATGAATGTGTTTGTGTGAAGGCTTACTGCGACATGGACTCAGAGGGAGGACGCTGGACGGTGAGTCCATCTCTACATGAACTCTCTCTGTTTACACTTCAACTTGGTTCATCTCAGGATTCTTGGGGGATTTCATCCAACAAACATCAAGTTCTGTTGAAAGAAGAGTCTTTATTTTCCTTCCATTTTCACCTGCCTGAGATAAGATTTGATCAGTTTGTCATGTTAAATATTGATTATTGATACCAATTCAGAGTTGGTACAAGCCACTTCCTTTTCACCCTGAGTGTGTCAGTGAGAACGTTGTTCACTTCTTGATCAGATTCCTTTGTTGTTCCAGGTTTTCCAGAGGAGGATGGATGGCTCTGTAAACTTCTACAGACCCTGGGCGGAGTACAAGAGAGGCTTTGGAAACGCTGCTGGAGAGTACTGGCTGGGTGAGACACCGACCTAAACAGTTAGTCAATGTATGGTTGGTTTATTTATTTACTTATAACATAGTTTAACTCAGTTCCTGCAAACCCAGATTAACCAGGTGTTTAATGCAAAATCTAAATTTAATGGTTTCCATGTCTGTGCAGGTCTTGATAACATCCGTGAATTGACACGGAGTCAGAATTATGAACTGATGGTCGACATGGAGGACTTTGAAGGAAACAAAAAGTTTGCTCTTTACTCTTCATTTAAAGTCGATGCTGAGTGTGAGGGTTACCTTCTGCATGTAAGCGGTTTCAACAACAAAGGGGGCGCTGGTGAGTCATGAGAAAACCTCATCAAAGCTTTACTAGACAGGATGGATGGAATGATGCCCATCACTGTTTATCCCTTGGCAAATGAAATAATTTGACTTGTGCTGGATCTGGAAAGTAAAGATCAAGGCATTGAGTATGGATCCCTGAGGAACTCCTGTGTTAGTGCAGGTGTATAATAACAACAATAATAATAATAAAGATAATTTACTGTAGCTAGTCTATTCTAAACTACAGGATTAAATAAAAATAAAAACCACCCTGGTTGGATTAAATGGTGTTGTGTCATTTATATCTAAATCCAGAGTTTGTTCTCATGGTTCTGAAGGAAACAGATTGATGTTGGTAGTTAACAGCACAAAACCTGAGTAAAGTAAATTTAATTGATCTCATTGATAATATCCCAGTAAGAGATTAACATAACTTTTTATTTATTTCACAAAATATTAACAATATTTCACAAAGCCTGCATTTTTTTTACATATTAAAATGACAATTTTATTTTGTTTTCAGATCCCGCAGATTTTTTTTTTCTTTCACTATTTAAGCATTCAACTGAATGTCTGTTTTATTCATATAGTTTTTGTATCCTATTATTATTTCTGCAGGAGACAGCCTTACAGATCAAAATGGAATGAAATTTTCCACCTTTGACAAAGACCAGGACAAGTCGAGCTTCAACTGTGCCAAAAAATTTCTCGGTGCTTTCTGGTACAACGGTTGTCACTATACAAACCCCAATGGGGTTTATCGCTGGGGGGCTGATGACACACTCCATGCTGTTGGAGTGGATTGGGTTCAATGGAAGGGAGTTAATTACTCCCTGAAGAGCATCAGCATGAAGATCCGTCCTGCCCAGTAAATCTGCAGGTTAAACATCCAGCAAAAAATAATGAGTTGCTTTTTCTTATAATCAAACATCAACTTTTGGCTTCAAACATGAGTCAAAAGTTCACTTGATTACTAATCAATATAATCCAGTTGATTGTGCTTTAAATCATTGGTGAGAGTTTGCTACCTGTAATCAATTTATCTCTGATAATAAATAAGATGCCAGCAGCAATATTTGTGTGTCTGGATTGTTTTATAAGTAAAAATTAAAATAAGCCAGTTTTAAAACACAAATTGGGCCAAATGGAAACATTTTAGAATCAAATCTTTTGGTTAAATGCAATTAACTGAAAAAAAACTAGATCTTCCTTAATTCTAAATTTTACGCTCAACTGTGTCAATGTCAACCTCTATATCTATTTAATGATCTGTTTATGTCACTCCTAGAGAAAATAAAGTATATCTGATGTTAGACAAAGAAAATGAGTTTAATTAATGAGCTTCTTAAAATACTTTGTTGTACCCAACTATTTTTCCTGTAATTAGTTTAAATAAAGTCAATACACATTGATCACATGTAGTTGTCCTCCGGGACTCCATAGAATCAGTCTATGGGCAGCAAATGGCCCGCAGACCGCACTTTGGACAAACCCCAGAATAAACAGAAAGCTGACGTGCAGAACTCCCTGCAGTAACTAGTAACGACCAGCAGTGGCAGAAAAGAAGAAGCAGTTAAAAAGTGAGAGCAATTGTCCCAACCTACTGACTTATTTATACCAAAAGATGACAGCATCATAATTACACTTAATATTTTACTTTAAATGTAAACTTATCTATATCTGCATTATTAAATAGCTGTAGAATTATTCCTTTGCAAAACATTTTATGATTTCAATGTGCAAATAAATGACGTTTCCTGTAAAAATGAACCGATGTTTGTGGTTTAACCACTTCCTGATCAAGAGAGCAGGAAACTTATTAGTATAATTTTAACATTTTATTTTTTTCTCTGTGATTCAAATAAACTGACCGTCATTAAGAACAATTACAAAAGCATGTGGTGTATAAATGTTTGCTGCAGTGGCTTCAGGCTGACTCCACTGATGTGATAAAGAGGAGAAATGACTGGATTATGTAGCTTAAATGTGTCCAAATATCTGACAATAATACAGAATGATTGTGGTGTGATGGGAAATAAAAACTTTTTTTTTCCACGTTTCTCTGTTGTTCACCTTTAACCCATATCAAGAAAACACATTTTTTACATAAAATGTCTAATCATGCCCTCTTCCAAAAATAAAACAAAAAGGAACTAAACAGAATGATATTTCTAGATTAAATATAGACTAAAACTTGTGGCATCATATGCAACAACAAAAATATCCTGTGTTTCGGATGTTGCAGAAGTTGCCAAACAATGACAGGAGAAAAGGAGATATAAAGAAAGATCAGACTTTTCTCTGAGTTAGAACATGGAAGATATGTCAGAAAGTGGAGAAAAAAAACTATTAATTGATAAAAAATAACTGTCTGTTTGGTCTTAATATTATACTTTTATCAAATGTTTTGTCTTTTTTCTGAATAACATCTTGAATGTCAAATCATTCAGAATCACAGCTGAATTTATTGTATTTTCTTTTAAAGCTGCTCTTGGTGAATAAACATGTTGCAGTCAGAATGATGTGATGTTTCTCTCCCACTGGCTGCAAGGTTTTGTGGAGTTAAACTGGTCAACAAAACCATCACAAATGCATTAACATTTTGAAAATTAGTAACATCAAATCATCAATGAACATCAAATATGTTGGTCCATGTTCCAGTTATTATGGTTCAAAGGCAACAATGAACAGGCGTCTTGATTTAGTCTTGATTTAACTATAGCTGTAAATCCCAGGTTATTTAGAATAGAATAGCATTTATTGTCATTGAACAGGATTCAACGAAATTTCTATTGCAACTCCCGTGCAAAAAGTCTAATATATACAATATAAAATAAACAAACACACAATAATAATAATATATACAACTAAAATTAACTAAACTAAAGGCTCTCAACCACACCAAAGAAAAAGCAGCAGGTCCAATTATTGTAAAGTGCAGATGATGTGACAGTGCAAAGGCAATGGCTGTGTGTGGGGTGGGGAGTATGTGAGGTTATGATATGTGTGGGAGGAGGTGGCGGGGGGCAGCAGGGGGCGGCAGGGAGTAATGGCTCTGACGGCTGTGGGGAAGAAACTGTTTCTCAGTCTGTTTGTTGTCATCCGTATATTCCTGAACCGCTTGCCTGATGGCAGCGGCACAAACAGACTGTGGCCCGGGTGGCTGGAATCCATGGCTATGGATCCAGCTCTCTTCTTGACCCGGCCTATGTAAATAGAGTCCAGGTCCGGGAGGGGGCATCCCACAATGCCTTGTGCTGTTTCCTCTCCAGTGCTGTGCAGCTACCATACCACACAGTCACGTTGAGGCAGAGGACGCTCTCGATCGTCGCCCTGTAAAAGTTCACGAGCAGCCGTGAGGAAAGTCCAGCCCGTCTCAGTTTCCTGAGGAAGAAGAGCCTTTGAGGAAATTTCCCTTTTAAGTTATAATACTCCTCAGATATTAATTTCTATCTGCCTGTTGGTTCCATCATCCAGGACATGACGAAACTAAAAAAGGCTTTAAAATAAAGCAACTTAAGTTATAATTTAAATATCCCATGGCTTGCATTGGGAGCCATTACAAATATGTTTATGAGGAATTTTATTAAGAGCAGTTGCTGATTAGCTGCTTTTCTTTTTATTTCGAACTTTAACTTTTTGTAGCAGAGATTAGATCAGTGAGACTGAACAAAACTCGTATCCAAGCAACATTTGAATTTAATTTTACTTCTCAACAGGAATCTTACTGAGAAAAACATGTTTGATTTGCATTTCTAGTTATTTTTGCTCCTGCAGCTTGAACGGGGTTTAAAAACGTTTTAAACATTTTCTATTACATTTCACTGTAACTCTGATGACCCCCAAAAAATTGGTCTTAGGAGATTTTTCCTATTTTTGATCCCCAATAATAAGATGGGATTTTCACCCTTGGTTGAATGTTGCATTTTTGATTCAGTAAGGAGCCACACCTTTACACTGCGGGTTCAAACATCGGCCCACTCAATCTGACTGCGCCACATGTCAGTGTGCTGCAACATCTGGGCCTCAAGCAAGAACACAAATTCATTGATCTCAAGTCGCAGCTTCCTTCTGTCGTGAGTTAGCAGAAACATTGCATTCGAACCATCAACCTGTGATTGTGGTCATTCAGAATTGACTCTAGTTTTCAGTAAGATAAATAAAATCAAGGGCATAGATTTAACAAACCGACACAATTAAATGCTTTTTACGAAACCTTGATGTTTATAGTGTGAGATTAAGTCACTTCCCTGCTGTTCTGTATTCAAACAGGCTGAAGACTCCAAAGCTACCAGACACACAAAGTTAGAGAAACAATAGAAATTGGTGACATTTATTAAATGTCCTTCACCAGACATTTGTTTAAAATTCTTAACCTTCTTCTCTTCTTTATTGCAAAATAAAGTTTCTGAAGCATTGAAACAAGTTGGATTTTTTTTTTTATACCTTGAATGACTTTTGAACAGATTAAGAAAACAAGGAACACGGCTGCGGTGTGTTATTGTGTGGTAGAACTTTATAGTTCTATACATTTCCTATGATGACCTTTCACCTGAATAGGTGAAAGGTCATCTACATTAAAGCCACATATTTGGGCCCTGGAAGGAGATAGAGACTGAAATCTGATTGGATGAAACATTAATAATCCACACAGATGAACGGGAAGAAGCTGAGCCAAGAAAAGGCTTCATTAAATTGAGTTATTTAATTAATGACCATTTAAGGTTGTAGGAATATGTCAGAGGCTCTGGTAGTTTAGATCAGCAGAGAAGGACTTTATGTAAAACAGAGTCACAATGACTGCAGATGTGGGTGTGAGACCGAACATGACGAAGGGAAACTGAGATGAGTGAGGCTTAGTGAGTCCTATTTCTGATACTTTAAAGAAGAACAAAAACAACTAAAACATTGTTTTTCTTTTGCAAGATGCACAGATATCAGGTCAAAGGTGAGGTGACGTTTGGCGTCCTTGGTGTCCACGTCCACATCTGGGTAAAAAACATTTCACGAAACAAACACAGGACCAAGAGAAGAGGAGCAAACATGCATGTGAGTTAGAGTATTCACTACTGCATGACAGCAAAGCTATTGTGCAACATACAGAAATGTATGTGCAACATTTCTGTCTTGTTCAATACTTCCTCCTGTGAGTCAAATAAAATAATTCAGTTAAGGAATAACAAGCAAACTGACAGTGAGAAAACATGAGAAAAACTTTTAGCCAAATTTACAAATGACCTAATAATAATAGATGCTTCTGTTGAATATGAGCATTTTATGATGATGCAAAATATAGAATGATGATGTTGTGAATGTAATTTTATGACCAGAAACCACAAGATAATGATAGTATTATTGCTAATAGGTACAAGATTTTAAAAAAGAAAATAATGGAGATAATCTTCAGGTGGCACAGGAGCAAAAGAAAGATCAGTGGCAGCAAACATATTTACATAAAAAGAATAAAATAATAGAAAGAGTGCAGCAGAATTGTTTACAATGTTAAGAGCTAATAACACAATAAAAAGGTAAAGCTTCCTGAAATGTAAATTAAGAAACATGTACATAAAGTGTGGAGAAGAAAAAAGTATTTTGTTTCATAACATGAGAAATTGTGAATAAGTTTAAGGGGCATGAAGACTTTTACAAGTTCCTGCATTAAACAGCCTTTCCTCTAGTCCTCTAGTCATAAAGAAAGTTTCAGCTGCTTTGTTTGCTCCTTCAGATGAAACAACATAGATATGAAATTATGTTAGAGGAACAAAACACAAGTAGCATTTCAGTTGAAGATTAGAGGAGCAAAGCACCAGCAGCTTAGTGTTTGGTTGTAAGATCTGTGGACATTGGGACAACAGAGCTGTGGGGTTGGTGGTCCTGTTCTGGGCCAAGTTCCAGTCCAGGCCTGGAAAAAACATTTCACAAAATAAAAAGAGGATCTCACAAAAGAGAAGTTTGTTTCACAACCGTACTTCCACTAGCTTATTGAGTAATTCCTTTGCTCATTAAATATTTTAGCAAATCGATTGCACAATGCATGTGAAACATTTTTGTACTGTTCATTGTCTCCTCCCTTGG